TATAAATAGCTCTTCATTTAAAAATACAGTTCCCCAGGTTGAGGTATTCGGTGGCCTGTTGTCACGGCAGCATTGAGTACAGTAGAGTGCCAGGGTAGGATGGCCCAGATCTAGCTAGAGACTGCCATCATGTAGTTCTTGGAGGGGCTGCTCCTGCCCAGCATCATTTGGTTCTTGCAGGTGAGGAGCCCATAGGAGGCAGCCACTGGGGCTTCCTCGTACAGGACACAAATGGAACCATCCTCTCCAATTCGGTAGGACACCTCATAGGGGTCCACCCACAGGGTCAGCTCGCTGGGCAGGAGCCTGTGCAGCTGGGGCTGGCTGAGTCCAATCTGGCTGGCCACTTTGCTAATAATGGGATCCATCTTGTGGTTGATGCGGATGCAGCGATAGCCAGAGCCCTTGGATGGCTTCTCTGGAAACCAGTGGTGTTTGTAGTGATCTGTGGAGGAAGAGAAAGGAACAGATGCCTGGTTAGAAAGCACTGTCTCTGATCATGGAGAGGAGGGTAGAGGGCCAGGAGGAGAGGAAGGGCCCAGTGACATTAGGTAAGGGTTGATATTTAAATCTTTCTGTGGCTTAGCAGAGGAAATTTACTTGGAGCTGAAGAAAGACCCCTCATCAATTTCCTGGATGGGGCATGTGTGAATTAGAAGGCAGCCCCAGAGCTCTCAGGTATTCTCCAGTGGCCAAAGGTACAGCTTCCGTTGTAGCCCCAGCTTAAGGAAGGAAGAGTATGACTAGGACTGGCATGAACAGGCAGGGCCTCTGGAGATCTAGGCACTGAAATTTCAAAGCCAGAAGGCTGCCAACATTATTGGGTGCACAGCCAGTCATCAGGCCTTCCACTTCCTCTCCCATCAGAAGTGTTAAGAGATCTTTAGCAAAGGTAAGGAAGTAAAAAATGGTTTTGTTTTGATTAAACAGCTGTTGGTCCTCAGATCTGTGCCAGCATGCTCAAAGATGGCTATCACTGCCCAAGGCAGCCAACCAGATAAAACAGCTGAGGGACAGAGGCCAAAGTGCTGCTTATCACTCCTCCACCTTCCTCCACACCCTGCCTCCATAACACACAGAGCCCCAGCACAGTTGGTTACTGGCTAAAGGACTCTTTTCTGTACCACAATAGGTGGCAGATGGCTAAGAGGGACCAGAAAGAATAAATACAAAGGAGGCCCAGATTCCAACTTCCAGCGGGTCTACTAGTCTGGCACAATGGCAGGTCCAGGACCACAGCAACAGTAGCTAGGACTCCGAGTTGTTTGAGAAAGTTCAATTGGTCGCCTTGCTTGGCCCAGCTTCGTGGCCCACAGCATGTCTTGAGGGTCTGGAGGTCTCAAAGGTTCAGAGAGGGCGGTTAGCCCACACTCAGACCCGCAGCAGGTACTGGCTCTTCCTGGGTTAGCTGAGTCCTCGGAATGCACTCTAGGGCTGCGCCCTGGGGGCGGAGGGGCCTCAGCAGAGCCTTGGAGACCTGACCCAGGGGTCAGAGGACCGCGGGCGGCCTCAGAGATCAGAGGAAGGCATCCGAGACCCGCAGTTGCTCCCGTAGCGGTCCCCGTCCCAGAAAAAGTGGGACAAATATCCCAGTCAAGGAATGGTCGCGCCCCGTTGACTCTAGGACCGCGGGCGAGTGCTCACCGGTCAGTGCCTCCTGGAGCGCCCCGCTGAACACCTTGAGTCTCTGCTCGCTCACGCAGCCCCGGGTCCTCAGGAGGCTGGAGAGGAAGCCCACGGCGGCGGCGATCTCCGGGAACATGTCCGTTCTCTTTCCGTGGCTCATGTTGAGCGGCTGGGCAGCAGGAAGAAGACCCTCTTGGGCAGTTTACTATCCGCAAGATGAGCGTAGCTTAGCCACCGCTCGGGCTCTGCCCGGACTTTCCCGGGGCTGCGCCTTTCATACCGCTCACGGGGGCGGGGGAGCTGGCCGCCGCATCCATTGGTCAAGGCAGGCGGATGGGGGCGTGACCACGAGAAGCCCCGCCCCAGCCCGCCCTCGCCTCCCCGGCACTGAGGTCATCGCCCACTGACGTCAGTACTGGGAACCAGCGCGGGGCTCAGGAGGGGTCGAAGGCGTGGGGCGAGAGCCGGACCGGAGAGGGCCGGGGCTTGGGCCGAGGGAGCCTTCCTTGCCGGGCATGCCCGAACCTCGCCCCTCCACCCAGCCAAGGTGGGGCTGGACTGCCACCTCCTCAAGGGGGCCTTCGCCGCTGCCACTGCTCCCGCGCCCCGCTTTTCTGATTCCTACAGCATTTTCCAGCCCCACACTGACGGAACTATTCATCTGCCTTGTCACCCTGTTGCCACTCTGCCATGTTTCTCGTGTTTTCAGCAATGGGATCTGTTTTCTATTTGCTTCACCTCCCCCAACAAATTCTGCACTTCCTCTTCAGCAGTTGCCTAAAAACTTTCAACTCTCTCTGTGTGGTGTCGTGGCGGGAGGGGAGGGATGTTGGGAGACTTCAGTCCTTTGGGTTGGTTTTCAGCTCTCACTTTCCTTTAAATGGCAGTTTTTAAAGTCTGCTCTGAACTGTACAGTTTTCCATCAGCTCCTGGCTCCTCCCTCTTCCCTGATTCCTCTTCCTGCCTCTTTGTGGACCGAAGCTTTTGTAAACACTGACTCCCAGTTCAGGCCCTTCCTACATTCAGGGCTAGGGTCTTTTCACAAGGCTAGGGAGGCTGCTGAGTGGGTCGACTTGTCAGGACTGGCCTACAAAGAGCCCATGTTTGCTAAATGAATCGAGCTGTGTGAAATCCTGTTCTGAGCTCTCTGGCTACCTTCTAGAAGCAGTGCCCAGTCCTCTGTGTCCTACTCTAGGTCCCTTCCCTTCCTTTCCTCTCCACTTCTATCCTCAAGCCTTCCCTTTTGCTGTTTGTTTTTCTTCCAAGGCCTTCCACATCACAGTCTTGTCCTTTCATCCTCCTCCCATCTGCTCTGTCCCTCCTTCTGTGTCTACCATCTTCTCTAAAGCCAGCTCCCTTCTGGTCTCTATTTCTGTCAGAGCCGCCATTTCTTTCCCAGTCACTAGCCCCATGGTACTCAGACCAACTATTAGCCTACGTAGACCCAGTCCCAACGCAAACTGCTTCTTTACCCCTAGATAATCGCACTGGATTATGCCCAGTCCCACCCCAAACTACCCTCCCTCGGTCAGTAGAGTCCCTTCATAAAGAATTCCATCTTCTTGCTCTTTTGCTCAGACCACCTGAGACAGCTCCACTTTGCCAGACTGTCTGGACACCTTTGCCCAATGGTTAAAATATCTCATCATCTTGTCCTAACTACTTTTTTTTTTAACCTTTCTGACACTTTGTACTATAAAGCTCCTTTCTTCACTGTCCTCTACGTACCAAGACAGCTCTGCAGTCTAAGTCCCTCAATATTTGCCCATCATCCATATTTCTGCTCTATAACACAGTCCCCACCCCATGCATGCCTGAGTATACTTAGGCCCGGTGCACCATGGCTCATGAATCCCTCATCACCATTTGCTCACCAATATGCATTATAATTGAGCCTATGATATAATATGTGATCTTTTCAGAAGGTGGCATTCTGTCCAAACAAAAAGGTTTTGTTTGTTTTGTTTTGAGACAGTGTCTCACTATGTAGCCCAGGCTGCCCTCAAGCTGGATATCCTCCTACCTCAGTCTTGGACTCATGCTCCACCTTACCTGCTCCAACACCATTTTATAGGTTACTTGGAAGCAAGTTCTATGTTTGTCTGTCTCACATGTTCAGGACAAACCAGATTTCATATATTCTTCCCTACGGCTTCATATAGTGAATCAAATGCCCTGGGATTCTGGCGTTTGGGTATTTCACACATCAGGTAGATGACTTCTTTACTGTGCTTCCTTAGAGGCTGGGTCAAGCAGGATGAGATGATTACTTCTGCTGGTTGAGGGGAATTGCTAGTTTTTATCAGGAAACAGAGCTGATCCTGGAGAAAATAACCTAGAGCTACTTTAACCAAAGAGACCCAGTGTCAGCAGGGCCAGAATTGACCAAGGCCAGCCACTAAGGAAGTCAGCAAAATATGTCAAAGCATAGAGGGCTGAGCCAAATTTGACACACTTAACATCTCCCCGGTTCTGTCTTTGGCAGGTGTCTAATGCTCTGGACCTGACACCCTACAACAAGAATTGATGAAAAAAGCTTTTTACAAACCAAATCATCATCATTTTTTTCCCCTTTAGGAAATCGAATTTTCCCTTATATAAATATTCACATTGTTCAGCAGGCCACAGTAGAGTTCTCAGTAGAGCCAGGAATAAATTTGATTTGTTGATTACAAATAAGGTGTTCTTTTCATTAGACCACCACCCCCCCACCCCAGCTCCTGGGCTGTTGCTTCTATAGCCTAGGTTTCATGTAGGCCCACAGAGAAGCCACTCTTCACAGTGATACAGTGAGTACAGGGAAAGAGCCCAAACATGAAGACAGGAGTAGGGAGGTAGGAAAGCCCCAACCCGGACTCCTATGTTATTCAGGTGTGTTTCTGCAGAGACACTACAGTGCTGGATTGCATCCTGGCTGTAGTGCACAGTGATCCATAAGAACACAACAGGCAGTCCCCCCTCCTTCCTCGTCTTCTCTTCTTTCTACTCCTAAGCCCACAAAGAGGGAGTTTAATTTATCCCACATTCAGAGTTCACAAGTCACTGTGCAGCATCGTGGTCCCCAAGTCAGGATTTAGGTTCTAGAATTAATTTCTGATAACATCAAGCACATTACAGTAATTCTGAAATTTCTTTAAACTTAAGTTGATGGGAACACTGTGTGTGGTGCCACACATACTCGGGAGATAGAGGCAGGTGGATCTCTGTGAGTTCAAGGCCAGCCTGGTTTATGTAAGGAGTTCTAGGCCACCAAGGACTACATAGTGAGACCCTGCCTTAAAACAAAGAAACAGAAAAAAAAAATCAAGCTGAGGCTGGAGAGATGGTCACTGAATGTTCTTGCAGATGACCCGGGTTTGAATCCCAGCACCCACATGGCAGCTAACAACTGTTCGTATCTCCAGTTCCAGGGAATCTGATATCCTTTTCTTACCTCCATGGGCATTGCACAACATGGGTGCACTTAACATACATGCAGGCAATACACACATGCACATAAAATGAAAATAATAAAATATTTTTAAAAACAAGCTAAGTTGATGGGAACTTTTAGAAGCATCAAACTTAAGGCTTCACCACCACTTTTCCCTTTTCATGTCGCCCATTGCCCCCTGTCCTCGGTGTACTTTGGACATCAGAATAAGGAAAATGGCTCCCTCTCTCCCTCACCTTTTCTTCCTATCCTTCTTGCTTGTCCTCTTTCTTTTCTTTCTCCCTGCACTCTCATCCAAAGATGGAATGGTAAACATTAAATGCTTGACATACTGTGCTGACTGTGGCTCCCCACCCTGAAGAGGGGCCTTGGTGATGGCAGAGATGAGGATGGACTTCAGACTGTGCTTTATCTGGGCCAGACACTTCAGCACCATGTAACCCCAGACCCACTGTTGCTCTGGTCCTGGTTCCCCAGTCCATCCCCTTTCCTGGCCTATCTATTTGGAAAAATATGGAGAATGATGTAGCATTCCAAACTCAGACCAACCCAAGGACTGGGTCCTTCTATCCTGGCCTTGTCTGTGGAGATATCACATGGGGCTTACTCTCTCTTCTCCTCAGTTAGGAGGTACTAGATCACAGTATGTACATTTTGTGGGGCCCTTGGGGACTTGGCTTGGTTGCCAAGTTACCTCCCAGTTCTGACCACATGTGGAAACCTGAGGCAAGTATGGTGGATCTGCAAGCAGAGTCTGGGGCTGAGCTATTCTGGGAGGATGACTTCAGTTCCCTCCCACACAGCACTGTGTGCAATTCTGTTGGTCTCCATGTGTATAAGTGTGGGTAGGAAGGTGGTATATATATTTGATTGAGTGTACGCACTGAAGTGTATGTGTGAGCTGAGATCTGTGGGAGTGAGGGAGTTCAGTGTTACTGTGTTCTGTACTGGTGTCTACTAAATCCCGCCTTTGGCGACGGGCAGGCATTGGGGTAAGGGTGCCTAGTATGTCTGAGTATAGCTGCTATAGATGCTAATTTGATCTTTTCAAGCATCACTGGTGACAATCTTGCTATCCTGCCCAGAGCTGATAAGACACATCACCCAGGGTGGACCAGATGTCTCTTCCCTCTTCCTAATCAGAACAGGAGCACTGCTGAATCCTTTCACACCTCTCTGCAAAGCACCTCTTCTGGGACTCCCTGTCCACTTTTCACACAACTGCACCCAAAGTCAGCTCTCAGCCACCAGTCTTGGAGTTGTTCTTGACATTCAGTAGCAGGAATTAACAGAAAATGACCTAGCCCCTAAAGCCTGCTCTTAAGGACACAGAAAACTGAGGATGTGAGCTATTTTTGGAAATTTCTGTCTTTGAACCTCTCCCACCCCAAAGTGAACTGAGAGTGGGGACAGAAATAGGCAATGCAAAAATGATCAGGGGTGAGGGTAAGTGGAAAACTACCCATCTGGACTAAAGGAAAGCATAGGAAAGTACAAATAAGGAAAGGGATTGCTCATCTGTGGGTTAGGACATATTTCAAACCCTAAAGAATCAATTTTGACAGTTTATTAAGGGCTATAGATGAGTCTAGACCATAGAAAGTAACCATTCCACCACTTGTTCTGGAGATAGAAGACACAAAAAAAGGTCCAACTTGTGCAAAAACTACTTAAGATGGGCAACTCAGACCCTCTTCACAGGGAATCTTCACAGTATCAGCCGCAGGAGGTGGCTGTACCAGGTAAAGGCCACAGGCTCATCTTCAAGGTGACCAAAATCCAGAACAGGACCTGCCCATAGGGTTTCCAGGTGTGG